GAGAGATCACATGCAGAGAGATGTCAGAGAAGCCCCAGCTGTTTGAGTTCTCCCAGCCCAAGCACCAGACACATGAGTGAAGAAGCCTTCAAGATGATCCTTACCCCAGCCCTGTCTGACAGCGACTGCACCAGAGAATCGAAGAACTGGCCCAGTCAATCCCCAGACACAGGAGGGAAGAATAATTAATTGTTATTTTGATCAATATTTTGGGGTCTTTCTAACACAGTCATAGATAACTAAATACTCTCCTGCATTCCGTGATAAAAGGAATTAAAAAAGTGGACAGCATGGAAGGGGAGGAGGAGTTAGTGTTTAATGCACACAGAGTTTCAGTTTGGGAAGATGAAACATTTCTGGAGATAGTGTATTGATGATCACAGAACAATGGGAACATACTTAATGCTCCTGAACTATATACTTCAAAATGGTTAAAACAGTAAAAAAAAGAAAGAAAGAATGAAAGAAAAAAGTGTATGTATATCTTGCCAACATTTCTACAAAGGAAAAAAAAAATCTGGGCAGTAAGCAATTTTGGAAGATATGTAGAAATGGGCATTTCTATTATTAAAACAATCGAGCTTTATCCAGGACTGAAGCCCAGGTACTGAAAGTGATATTTATGTGACAAATACCTCAGTCTTCAGGATGATGACAGCTACATTTTATTTATTTATTTATTTATTTATTTATTTATTTATTTATTTATTTTAAATTTATTTCTAGGAGAGAGAGAGCGAGAGACAGCATGAGCAGGGGAGGGTCAGAGAGAGAGGGAGACACAGACTCTGAAATAGGCTCCAGGCTCTGAGCTGGCAGTTAGCACAGAGCCCGACGCGGGGCTCGAACCCACGAGCCGCGAGATCATGACCTAAGCGAAAGTTGGACGCTTAACTGACTAAGCCACCCAGGCGCCCCGACAGCTACATTTTAAAGAATAATAATAAAGAAGCAGCTAACGTTTCTTCACTGAGCATCTCCTCTGAACCCAGTGCTAGGGATGCCGACAGAAGGAAGGCAGTCTCTCTTCTCCTGTGTCTTACAGAGCAGTCAGGGGAGGGCAGTAGTGGGTGTGTGAGCATCGTGGGGAAGAGACAGATGGACAAATGAACACCACAAATGAACAACGAGCATGCTGGGTGGTGACAAGTGCTATGCTGAGATGACAGCAGGCTCGCTTGACAGAAAGAGCCTGGTGGGGCGCCTGGGTGGCTCAGTAGATGGAGCTCCAACTTTGGCTCAGGTTGTGGTCAGTTTGTGGGTTTGAGCCCTGCATTGGGCCTCTGCTGTCAGCACAGAACCTGCTTCAGATCCTCTGTTTCCTCCCTCTCTGTCCCTCCCTCACTTGCGCATGTTCTCTCTGTCTCAAAATATAAATAAACATTAAAAAAAGAAAAAAGAAAGAGACTGGGGCCTATTGTACATTGGGTCCTCAGGCAAGTCCTGAATAAATGCCATTTACTAAGGAGGGAGGAACAGATTTAAGGAGGGGCCCATGTTTCTTTTGAAATTCTATTAGATATTCAGATGGACTTGTCAAGTGCTCAGTGAAATACTAGTCTGGAGTTTAGGAAGGCCAGGGCTAGAGATAGGGATTTGTGAGTCATGGGACTGTGGATGGGAGTTAGAGCTGACCCTAAATAAGATCACTAGGGAAAGCACAAAGTGAAAGAAGTGCCCAGGAGGAAGAGGTTGAGCAGGATTCCGAGACCAGCAGCCATGGAGGCCGCAGGCCAGGCAGAGAGTGGGATTTTGACCATGTCCACTGCTGCTGTGGGGGGGGGGGGGAATGAGACAGGTAGGTGACTGTAAGGGCAGTCCCACGAGGGCAGTGGTTGTGTTGCAGCATCTGTGGAGAGGTTTAAAGAGAGGGCCAGGGAGGACTTGTGAAACGGGAAACTAAAGACAGATCTTTAAAGAGAACTTCTAATACTTTTTTATTTTTTTAATTTCTTAAAATGTTTATATGTTTTTGAGAGAGAAAGAGAGAGAGAGAGAGAGGCAGAGAGAGGGGGACATAGAATCTGAAGCAGGCTCCAGGCTCTGGGCTGTCAGCACAGAGTCCAACATGGGGCTCAAACCCACAGACCATGAGATCACAACCTGCACTGAAGTAGACACTTAACCTACTGAGCCACCCAGGAGCCCCAAGAACTTCTAATACTTAAAAGAAGCAGAGAAATGGGACAAGAGCTGTGGGGTCAGTTATTTCCCTGCCACAAGTACTTTGCAACCATTTTACTTTAGTATATGTCTCCATTTTCTCAGAATTCTAGTTTCCACTTTAAAGTTAGAAAATGGGGGGCATCTGGGTGGCTCAGTCGGTTAAGTGTCTGATCTTAGCTGAGGTCATGATCTCACGTTTTGAGTTTGAGCCCCGCGTCCGGCTCTGTGCTGACAGCCAGCTCAGAGGCTGGAGCCTGTTTCAGATTCTATGTCCCCCTCTCTCTGCCTCTCTCTCTCTCTCTCTTTCTCTCTCTGCTCATGCTGTCTCCCTCTCTCTCAGAAATTTAAAAAAAAAATAACAACATTAAAGGTAGAAAATGAGACACAAAGAAGATAATGAATTGCCCAGGGTCAAGTAATTAGTAGGTGGTAGAATTGGGGTTTGAATGCAGGCTTCTGTGAATTAAGTGTCATTCAACTAGCAAAACTTTTAGTCTAGTCAATATACCATTCCTGTATAAAGAGATAATTTAACCACGTTTTCTAATAAACAAAACAGGTATGCTCAACTAAAATATTTATTTGATAATTTACAGCAAAGTTCTTATATGGAATAAGCTTAGCAAAGGTTTTAAAAATATCCAATAAAATGTGCTTTATTATTGTTTTTCCCTAGAGAAGTACTAATCATGTAGTATCATTTCAATTAAAATCCAACTCCCGAGAGAAAAAAAGCACAAAAGATCACAATTTTATATGTTGTACTGAGAAATAAGAGACCTTCCTATATGATGGCTAATCCAGTCAAAATAATTAGCCACTTTAGTGTAAACACCTGGGAACTCTGACTTTCCACAGTTTTCACCCCAACTCACAACACCCCAAACATAAGTCACATTGTTGACATCCTTACAGACTAAGGGGCCTCCAGAGTCCCCTTGACAGGCATCAATGGAACCATCATCCATACCTGGAAAAGACAAAGGGAAAAGAAAATTACACATGTACTTCCATTTGTTGAGGCCATCAAGCTATCTTCCTGTCTCCTCCACCAATGTGTGTACCAACTTTGGTTAAATGTTTTACACTTTCCTAACAGGAAATAACACATACTCTCTTAAAGGCCTCTACTGGGCCCATACGATCATAAAGATGCAGGCTGGGAGATACTTTGTCTTCTTCTGCTCATTCTGCAAATTTAGTGAGTGCTTCCCTTGCTGCCTCTGTTTTATGCAAATTTATACTCTGATGAGATTGCAATCTGAAAGTAGCATCCAACGCTGATTGGGAAAATAATAGGGAATACTTAGTGCTTATTGAGTGCTTAGTATGTATTAGCCACTCATTGTTTTAATTCTAAACCACAACCCTATAAGGCAGGTATCATTATTATCCCTATTGTACGATGAGACAAATAAGGCACAAAGAGTTTAACTAATTCATTCAAGGTCATACAGCTAATAAGTGGCAGAGATTGGACTTGAAATGAGGCACCCAGACCTCAAAGCTTTTCCTCTTAACGGTGATAATTGTCTTTCAGTAGGTTCTGTGAAATTCTCCCCATTTGTCTTCTATAATCCTGAACTCCATTTAAGGGAGGGCACAGGGAATGGTCAATTTTCTTCTCACTTTTAGGACTTTCTAAGGTTTTTAAGTCAGCGATCCAAAAAGTTACAGGATGTCAATAACTTTGCATTTTTCTGTAATACACTATGCATAAGTGGTTTTAATAAAGCATTCTAGGGACACCTGGGTGGCTCATTGTGTGTCTGACTCTTGATTTTGGCTCAGGACATGAGCCCTACATCCAGCTCTGCCCTAAGTGTGGAGCCTGTTTAAGAATCACTCTCCCAGGGGCGCCTGGGTGGCTCAGTCGGTTAAGCGACTGACTTTTGCTTAGGTCATGATCTCGCGGTTTGTGGGTTCGAGCCCCGCGTCGGGCTCTGTGCTAACTGCCAGCTCAGAGCCTGGAGCCTATATCAGAGTCTGTGACTCCCTCTCTCTCTGACCCTCCCCTGCTCATGCTGTCTCTCTCTCTCTCTCTCCTAGAAATAAAAAAAAAAAAAAAAAAGAATCACTCTCCCTCCCTCTTCTCCCCAACTTGTGTGTGCGTGCACGCACACACACACACTTTCTCATTCTCTCTCTCTCTCTCAGATTAAACAAAACAAAACATCCTATATTCATTGCCCTGCCCGACTCCCTGCCCTTGGGTCACCACCCAAAGCAGGAACTGCTGTAGCTGTGTTAGATAGAGGCACTAGCAACACTACGATATTAAAGGATACTGTGGCAGGTATCATTAGAAGTGCAATGGGATTTCTGAGGAGGGAGAATTTACTTCCAACTGGACCCATTTGAAATGAGATCACTCAGATTTTTATTTAGAAGAAGTTTGGGTTTGGACCCTGGATATACCACTTCTTGTCTGTAAGACTTCAGGCAAGTTATATAATTGCTCTGCATCTCAATTTCCCTAATTTAGCAGATGAGGAAACTTGCTCAAGGTCACATGAGTAGTACTTGGTAAGAACTGGGATATAAACCCAGGCAGCCTGGATCCAGAGTCTGTGCTCTTAGTCTCCTTGCTATACTGCTATATGATAGCATAAGGAAGATTTTTCCTCTTAGTATGAGCATGAGGGAGCTTGAACTAACAGAAAGGGAAGCAAGAGCCAGAAGATCTGATGGAAGGGTCCAGGGCCCAGAACAAGGGGGTGGATTTGGTGAGGAGGAGAGATGGTTGGTAGGAGATATATGTACGTATCTCAGAGAAACCACTTAGTGCTTACCTGCACATTCCATTTTTTTTTCAAAGTAACGACCAGGATAAAACCTGGAGCAGTTGCCTATCAGGTTAACTTCACCCCAGTGAAGTGAATAGACTTTTTGGTTATCTAAGCAAAGTGAGAGAACAAATAGACATTTAGAAACCACAAATGAGAAATCCAAATAAATATTCTCATAATTTAGTAAGCCATAAATATAGAAGGAATATAGAAGATTGTATATATATATATATATATATTCCTTAATACATTATAGATTTTGAGGATAGTTCATTAGCATATTCAGTCATGCAGTGCTCAGATGTCTAGTTCCTACAATTGTCTTTCAAAAATAGTTAAGGGGTTGGGGCACCTGGCAGCTCAGTCAGTTGAATGTGGGACTTTGGCTCAGATCTTGATATCACAGTTTATGGGTTTGATCCCCTCATCAGGGTTTGGGCTGACAGCATGGAGTCTGCTTCAGATTCTCTGTCCCCTTCTCTCTCTTTCTGCCCCCCCCCCAATATTCTCTCCCTCTCTCTCTCAAAAATAAACATTAAAAAAAATAGTCAAGGGGCATTACTGAACACATGCTGGAAGTCATACTCATTTAATAAAGACCTGAGATGAACAAGGTGAACTCCCTCCCGTCTGATTGCTGAGTCCAGTGGGGGAGCTGGGTAGGAGTCAGTGATCAGCATTTTCTAACATAAATAGCTCCTATCATTTTACAGTTCTGTATTTCCTTAAAAGTACTTGTTACAGTGAGAACATCTTTTTAATTTAAGAAGTTAAATGAAGAAAATCCATACCAAGTTATCAGTGTGTATGTGTTTTTGTGTGTCTGAGGAACCCCATCTCCTAAGTGATTTGAAAGAGGGTTTAGGATTTCCTTTTCATTTCAATTAGAGATTTGGGACTTGAAACTTTTTCATCCATGGAAAGAGAAGGGCAGGTACTGTTGCTGATTGATAGTCAGGGAAGATGAGGAAAACTTAAGAATACAGGGTGAGATGTCTTGGGTATAAGGAGTAAATCTTTGCACCATCTGTCCTCTCCGCTTTTCCCCAGCTTTCAGCAAATGTTATGCTCTAGGAAGGGAGAGACTAGGCCTAATTCTATGCCAGCACCCAGCTTCATGCTACCATAAAGTAGCTACTTAATAAATATTTATGTAACTAATTAATCCATGAACTCAGTAATTCAATTATACACTAAACATCTTATGCCAAATGACTTAGCCCTCAGTTAATTTATAATCTATTGGGGGACAAAGACTTCTGCCTAATCCTGAGGAGACACCTCCACAGATCCTAGCATGGTAGTGAGCACATTGTAGTTATCTGTAAAACTAGTATTCTTCTCTTCTGGGAAGCAGGGGAAGACAAAAATCCACCCATATGGCAAATTAGGAAAGAGTTTCTTTTTTTCTCCGTTAAGTTAGTTTTAAGATGCTACCTTCTTCAGGTTAAGAGTTTTTTTTTTTTTTTTTTTTTAATTAGTAACTTATTATTTCTTCTAACTCAGGAGAAGCCTTTAAAAACTGGGAACTCCTATACTGTGTGAACAGTTTTTAATGGCTCAGGAGAGTGCTTCCTTCCCTGAGCTCTTGTGTTGTACACTTCTTGAGGCACCTGTCCCATTCTGCTGTCTGATAGTAGCATTCACGTCTGATGCCTCCTCTGGACTACAAGTCCCTTGAGAATTGGTCTTTCGGTCTTCCAGCCTCTCCAGTCTTTGCTGACTGCATCCATATTTTTCATCAGTGAAATCCTAGCGTATGCTAATAAACACAGGATGGTTATTAGATGATACCATGGGATCACTTTCATTTTGTTGGGTATGAATGGTGTTGTATTTTTGTTTTATTTTTGTTTTTCTAAGTCCTTACCTGATAAAGATATCTACTGGAATATTCATGGATGTAATTACATGATATCTGGATTTGATTTAATATGCTCCAGGAAAAAAATAAATGTGTTGGGGGTGGGGAGGAAATCTGTTTAATAGCTCCCAATTGTCCTTCAGATGCATACTCCACCCTTCAATGTCCTGTCCCCTGCCCAAAGAGGCTGACCTGGAGGGACTGCCTCAACATGAATCCCTTAGCCTCTGGTTTCCAACATAAAACCCTAGCAGAAGGAAGAGAGGGTAAGGAGAGAGAGATTGGGTTGGCCTTTAACCCAAAGTCATTCTCCTTCCTCTCACGTCTTCAGATCTCAGAGAGGCTGTTCTGGTACTGTTAGTCCTGGGTTCCTGCACAGACCTTGTGATTCCTCAACCCCCAACCCACATCCTTGTAATTAACCACTTTATAAATAACCCTTCCTAATTACCCTATTGCAATTGTGATTGGTGCAGAGAGCTAAAACAAGAATGGTAGAGTGCTGGTAACTGGAAACTGGGTGATGGATGAATAAGTAGATTTATAATACCTTTATGTCTGCTCCTGTGTATGCTTATAAATGTAGACAATAAAAGTTGTTTTTTTAAAAACAAATGTAAGGACATAATGCCTTCTGAATAAATTAATTACTAACAAAATTTAGTCTTGGGTATTCAACCATATGACAAATCTGGGTCAATTTATATGTATTTTTTAGTACTTTTCAATGTGGTAATTATAAAGAATGTGTAAGAGTATGAGTTTATAAGACCAATGTAGTGAAGTTATTTACAAATAGAATGTAGGAGTTCAAAAGGAAGCTAAATTTCAAATTTAACTCTTCAAGACAAAGGGAAAACCACTGGCTAATTTTAGTCTAACTTCAAATTTAGCCAGTTTTTCTAATAAATTGTCCCTACATGTCTGCAATCTATATCTCCTATTCATATAAACATCCACCTCAAGTCTTCTTAGAAGCCCAACAAATAATTCTTTATGTTTTCTTCCTCTTTGTGGGATGTGGCCATGGGGGTGAGGGGGCAAGGAGAATGGGGGGAGTAGAGGAGAGAGCAGAGGGTTGTGGGATTATTGACTCACCTATACTGTGACTATTCCCCTGAAAACCATTTTATCTTCTATCTCTAAGAAATCCAGAAAGCCCATGCTATATATGTCCCCATCACTCTGCTTTTTTTTTGTAAATAGTTACCCTTCAACATATTCTTCAAAATCACACAGTGTAGGAATCCTTTGAAACTCTGGATCAGGATCAGCTACATTATTTTCAGGGCCCAGTGAAAAACAAAAACGTGAGGTGGGGGCCTCTGCAAAAATTATTAAGAATTTCATGATGATGACAGCACAACAGTACACTAAGCATGGGGCCCTGCGGAGCCTCGGGTACTGGGCAACTGCACAGGTCTCATGTCCATGATGCCAGTCCTGCCTGAATGCTCATTTTTCTGGATCTGAGGCTATGTTTCTCTCTGAGTACTAGGAGATTAGCTTCTATCCATTTGTATGCCTATTTATTCCAACCCCTGGATTCTGATTAACATATTTTAAAGCATGTACCTTTTTCTCGACCCCAGCCAGAAATAGTGCATCTGTCATTAGGTTGGAATAGATATGGAGACCAGGGGACACAGGCAGGGACAGAATTAGGTAGCACACATTCTTTTTGGTTTGGGCGTCTTTTCAATTCAATCAAAGCTATGTCATTTTCATAGGTTTTTCCATTGTAGTTTTCATGGATAATAATTTGTTTTGCTAGCTGAACAATTATGTCATCCTCGGGTCTTAACCAATGTAGAAATGATGTCCATATTTGGTAACGGTGAACTTTACTGATGCTATAATAGAAAGGAAAGGGGAGATAAGATATTTTTATTGAGGAAACAACCCAATTATAAACATGAACATCTGATGCTTCATCTTTATGTTCTCCCTTTTAAAGGACTTTCTTCCTTTTTCCAGATTTTTAAAAAATCCTTGCTGTCATGAAGCAGTGCAATTAAATTTATGGGACAGAATTAAAGTCAGTGGGTAAATGAGGAGAGGAATAATCAATCCACCTAACTACTCAATATCAGGGACATACAGAATTCACTAAGAAACAGAGATGCCCAGAAGTAGAATGAATTGGCTGCCTCTGGAGTGAGAGCACTGTCACTGAAGGGGTTCAAACAGAGAACAGAGAGAGTGTAGCCAGAAATGTGGTTAAGGAAATGGGAATCAATCAAGACACACATCATTACTCTGCTAACCCCAGAGGTTCTCAGGGTGAAGACCACAGCAGCCGTTATCCTGACGTTTAAGACTGACTTCATCCTAATATCACATTGTATTTATTTGCTCACAAGTCTTTGTTCCTGTTGGACTTGAAGTCAAAGATGAAGTCTAATTCATCTATGAATAGATGCCTGCATCTAGCATCATACCTGGAATATATTAGCTGTTTTAAAATTCAGTTGAAATGGTGAATGAGCTAAATATTGCCTCTTCCTAATGCCTCAATTTTCATACCAATTTTTACCTCATGGTTTCCAACAAATTGGCATTTACCATCATTTTCTCAGGTAATCACCTAACAGTTAACAGTGATGTTGTAGGCACTAATGAGGTGTTTGGGATGCTTATTCATTCAATTTACTCAACAAACACTTATAATGTACACCTGTAATAGTCAACAAATGACTATTGCCAGGCACTGTGCTGGCCACTGGGATACAGAAATGAGCAAAATCAGAAATAGTTCCTGCCTTCTCGGAGCTCAGGATATAGATGCAGTATTAAATGGATAATAACAATAATGAGGATATGTATTCTACCATGTAAAGTGAGAGGAATCAACAGCACATGGGTTCTGAGAACTTATCAAGAAGGCTTTGATGTAAGGGTATCTGGAGAAATTCTGAGGTAGTGTAGATGGAGCTGAGATCTGAATAAAGAATAGCATTAACTAGATAAACAGGGTAGGAAAGATCATTGCAGGCATGAGAAATAACATATGAAGGTCTCTTTGTAGCAGGGAGCAAGGTGCACGTGAGTAGCTGAACAAAGTCCAAAGCAGGTAGAGCAGACAGCAGAAGTTGAAGCCATGGGGCAAGATGAAATTGGCAAAGGTAAGTAGGGGTCAGATAATATGGAGCCTAGTGGGCCATGTTAAAAACACCATTTAGAGGCACCCAGGTGGCTCAGTTGGTTAAGTGTCTGACTCTTGATTTCAGCTCTGGTCCTGATCTCATAGTTTGTGGGTTTGAGCCCCACATCAGGCTCTGTGCTGACAGTGTGCAGCAGGCTTGGGATTCTCTCTCTCTCCCTCTCTGCGCCTCCCTGCTCATGCTCTCTCTTTTTCTCTCAAAATAAATAAATAAACTTAAAAAAAAAAACCATCATTTAGATACTCTAGTAACAAATGAGCCTGGCAAAGCAAGTGTCTGACATTTTCAGCCTCTCTTAAGGGAGAAGTGGACCAAGTAATATAACTTCTCAGTCTCAGTCTACCAGTCTACAAGATATTTACCACTTAGGGCTGTTAAGAATATTAAAACAAGACAACATATGTGAAAGTGCCACATACATTATCTAATCTGTAAGAGGTGCTCAATAAGTGACACTTCATTCATTCTAGAGATCAGAACTGAGGCTGGAATCCCAAACTCTGCCTTCTTCCTTGCTGACCTTGACTCGTTATCAACACCTTTTTTGTACTGCCCTTCAGCTACTGGTATAGACTGAATTGTGTTCCCCTAAAATCCGTATGTTGAAGATCTAACCCTCATCATAACTAGATTTGGAGATACAGTCTTTAAAGAGGTAATTAAGTTTAAATAAGGTCATAAGTGGAACTTTACTCCCATATGATTGGTCTTCTTATGAAGAAGAGGAGACATCAGTGATACATGCATGCACAAAGCAAGCAAGTCCGTGCAGGAGCGGCATGGGAGGCAAGAGCTCCTTCACTGTCCAGGACACAGATGAAAGATGCTTAAGGGGACATGGAAGGCGAAACAATGCTTTGGGTACTTGAAGTCTTTAAATGCATGCAGCTCTTTAAACAACATCCTCTTTGAAGTGAGACCAGAGAAAATGCCAGCTTACTATTATTTCTTTATACATTCTTCTCAACAGTTTGGTCCTAACTCTACAAAATGTAGGTACCATCTATTTGCTTTCCCATCATGCAAATGAGCTGACTGACACAACTTGGGACCTATGAGTTTGATCTGACCTTGCCATCTGGGATCAGTAATTTGGTCTGAGGGGGAAGAACCCAGTAGATTCTGGGGGGATGGCCTCTGGGGTTTCAATCATGAATATTTTAGGGTATTTAGAGTGAAATTTGTCACATGGTTTTCTTTATCATCTGCCACAATCTCTATTACCCATTTTTATTATTTCAAGGAATACAAAATCTTATTGGAGACATTTTTTTACCTGACACAATGTGCAGCAGTTAGAATCCAACAGCCTCCAATATAAATTCCTCCACAGTTGATTTTCTCATTTTCCTTAATTGCCACCTGCCACGGGAAGTCTCCCTGTAAAAGACATTGGTGTGGTCACTGCCATTCTACCAGACAGTGGTAGACAGGAGGCCCTAAGATATGCCCATTGCAAGAATCCCAGTCTCTTATCATGACATATCTCCCCCGCCTGTTTTCGTTTCTCAAACTTGGGACTGCTCCTGGGAAGTCATAGGTTTACCACTTCTGCTGGCCTTCCTCCTATAACTCGTTTCCTTCGAGCAGGCAGCCTGGGTTTAACTCCACACGATAGTTTAGGGAGAAGTGACTTTATCCATTTTCTTTCTTCAAGAAAGAAAGAGATTGTATCATTATGATTTTGAACCCATTACTTCTTGATGATCTATGCCACAAAAACAGCAGTCACAGGTAAAACAAAACAGTCTGAATTGATTCATAAATTATTTTGGATGCTAAGTGGTGCTATTTACCTTGTTTAAAAATTCTGGCTTAATATGAAAATTGGCTTGATTCTCTGAAGTTCTGCCTATAGGCACATTGTGGGGGAGAGGGCAGAAAGAGGCTAGCTAAGAGGGTTAAACATTTACCAGCCCCTGGCAGATAAAAGATGTCACATGGCCTGGCATACTCAGGATGAGGGTCTCATTTGGTTAGAAATCATCAGAATGTGATGACAACATGGTCACCTATTTCTTCTTACCTTCATAGTTTTTACTTTTTCGTGGCTGTTCATGTGGAATTCTTTTCAATAATATTAATGTTAATGATGTTAACATTTGAGCACTTTCCATGTCTCAGTCCCCATGCTAAATACTTTGTATATCGTTTATCTCATCGAATCATATTAACCCTGAGGGGCAATGTGCCAGGGACCCATGGAAAATTCAGGATCAGTGGGCCAAAGGATGTTTTTTAGTCACTTGACATGCGATGCTATTTCCTTCCTCTGTGAGCATTTAGATGTGACATACTTTTCACAGAGAACATGGCAGAGTAAGGCTTAAGATGTGAATTGGCAAAAGAATTCAGGAAAAAGAAGAAAGTAAAAATATAAGAAGTTTTCCTTATTCTTTCTATATTTTTAACATCACAAAAATTTTTACAAACTTGCTTCTTAGCCCCAAATGAGAAAATGAAGATCACTGTCAATTACTTTGGGCATATACTGAGGAGGTAGGTCCTTCAGGGAGAGAAGTTGTGAGTGAATATGGGTAGATTTGTTTGTTGTTATTGCTGTTGCTGTTGTTGTTGTTTTGGTCCCACCCATTCTAAGAACAAGGTTGGGGGAAGAGTGGGATGCTAAGTTTTTAAGTTTCTGCTTGGACCTTTAAAAAAAGAGAGACCTCATCTAATGAATATGGAAGCAGCTTTGGCACTATCTGAAAACTGATGCTATCTGGTGTAGAAAATAAAGGGCCTTTGTGGAAAATCTCTTTCTGACTGATATTTGTATCTTTAAGATCTAAATCTTTCACTCATCACTTGATGAAAAAAATAGTTAATTAATTTTGGGGCCTGGCAATTAGAAGAGAGTCTTACATGAACTTTCACTTAAATCCCCCCCCCGCCCCCGCAAACAGGGAGCTATTTATTCCCAATTTGTATTTGAGGTTAAGTTGTTTACCTAAGGTTACATAGCTAATAAATAATGAGTCAGGATGTAACACAAGGCTGTCTGACCCAAAAGCTTATTAACTACTGTCTCCTCAGGGATTTGATGCTTAATTCATTTGGCTCTTAGTATACAACTGGCCAGAATACAGATCTTCACAGACCTTCTGTTATCGTGCTTTAAAACATTGCAAAAGAACAAGTTAATTCAAGTAAAATTCATTATTTTTCTATTTCAAAATGCATGTCATGTCCCATGCTTGAAATCTGGTTGTTTTTGACAAAACTGACCTGGAAAACTCATAGCAAATAAAAAACTTTATGTAGGTCTAAAATATTGTTTTCACTTCAAAATTTCCCTTGTGAATGAACCCATTTTTAAAAGCAGATCCCAAGAAGCATTTATGTTTGTTTTTCTTAAAAGTGATAAGGAAAGGAAAAAAGTATCAATTATCTATTTAATTGATAACAAAGAAAATTGTTGCTTGAATCAATTATACACACACACGCACACACACAACATTAAAATGCAGACTTAGGGGGAAGCACTAGTAAAACAATAATCTTGGGGCACCTGGGTGGCTCCGAGGTCAAGTGTCCGACTTCAGCTCAGGTCATGATCTCACTGTTGATGGGTTTGAGCCCTGGAGCCTGCTTCAGATTCTGTGTCTCCCTCTCTCTTTGCCCCTTACCCACTCGCATTCTGTCTGTCTCTCTCTCATTTTCTCTCAAAAATAAATAATATTAAAAAAATTAAAAACAAACAAAAAACCCAGAATAATGTTAACTTACCTGCATTCATATTAGCAGTCAAAAATTCTGTTTCTTCTATAAGAAAACAAAAAGTTCTAATGTTTATGGTTGTGTTTATAATAAAAATTAAATTATTAAAGTCAATGAAACTTTGATCTTAATTTTCTTTCTTAAAACTTGTCCTCTCTTTAAAAAGGACAGTACAAATCTCCAAATCACACCATCTAATTTCCTTTCTATACCTTGTGAAGGTTCATGATGAACTATGTAGAAATTTTGCAGGCGCAAACTAGGTGTCTGTTGGTACAAGTAAATGGTAAGACTCATGGTGTAGTGCTTTTCTGCATTCAGAATGCTTGGGTCATAGAAGGAAAGCTTCTTTGTCAACTCTGATTCATTAAAGTCCTTACATAGGGTAGAGAATAGTTACTAACACTGACTAAAAGAGTACTGAGCTGACATTAAGAAGGCTCCTCTCATTTTGTACATAATAAGGCACCTCTTATAGGAGTCATAAAAGATATTATAGTAGGCATTGTTAGTATTAGGCATCTGCCATATAGAAGTCAAAAATAAACAAAAGATATTCTCTCCTTAGACTTTTGCTTGAATAATATTTAAAAAATTAAAAACAAACAAAAAGCCAGAATAATGTTAACTTACCTGCATTCATATTAGCAGTCAAAAGTTCTGTTTTTTCTGTAAGAAAACAAAAAGGTCCAATGTTTATGGTTGTGTTTATAATAAAAATTAAATTATCAAAGTCAATGAAACTTTGATCTTAATTTTCTTTCTTAAAACTTGTACTCTCTTTAAAAAGGACAGTACAAGCCCCCAAATCACACTATCTAATTTTCTTTCTATACCTTGTGAAGGTTCATGATGAACTATGTAGAAATTTTGCAGGCGCAAACTAGGTGTCTGTTGGTACAAGTAAATGGTGAGACTCATAGTGCAGTGCTTTTCTGCATTCAGAATGCTTGGGTCATAGAAGGAAAGCTGCTTTTTCAACTCTGATTCATTAAAGTCTTTACATAGGGTAGAGAATAGTAACTAACACTGACCAAAAGAGTACTGAGCTGACGTTAAAAAGGAACAAACTGAGGGCCGATGGGGGTGTGGGGGAGGGGAAGAGGGGGTGATGTGCATGGAGGAGGGCACTTGTGGGGATGAGCATGGCTTGTTACACGGAAACGAACTTGACAATAAACTATTAAAAAAAAAAAAAAGCTTTCTTTGATTCTTTTGCTTCAAAGTAGGACTTCTCAGAGAGACCTCCCCTGACAAGAGACAACCCAACCACCACACACTCCATCCTCCATTAACATCACCTGCTCTCTGCTTCACTTTGTTAGCACTCATCATAAATGAATTCACTGCACTTGGTGTTTATTTGTTCATTGCCTGACTTCCCCAAATAAAATTAAGATCTGTGAAGGCAGCGACTCTCCTGTATTGTATGTTTTGTTCATTGCTATATATCTATTACTTGTCAAATGCAGGTGCTTATTATTTATTGAGTTGATTCATTAAGTTAGAGTGGTAAGTAAGAGAGAGAAAATATATTCTTTGGGAGTTTATGTTTTAATTGTAGGAAGATACATGTTATGGTATGAATCTTTGTGCCCTCACCCCGCAATTCATGTGCTGAAATCCTAACCCACAATGTGAAGGTGTTAAAAGTAAGGTCTTGGGCCTCAGCTGCAGCAATTTCTTACTCGATACATCTCCAAAGGCAAGGGAATTAAAAGCAAAAATGAACTATTGAGACCTCATCAAGATAAAAAGCTTCTGCACTGCAAAGGAAACAATCAATAAAACTAATAGGCAACCAACGGAATGGGAAAAGATAGTTGCAAATGACATATCAGATAAAGGGCTAGTATCCAAAATCTATAAGGAACTCACCAAATTCCACACCCTAAAAACAAATAATCTAGTGAAAAATGGGCAGAAGACATGAACAGACACTTTTCCAAAGAACATTAAGATGGCCAACAGACACATGAAGCATTGCTCAACAACACTAATCATCAGGGAAATACAAATTAAAACCTCACTGAGATACCACCTCACACTGGTCAGAGTGGATAAAATGAACAAATCAGGAGACTACAGATGTTGGCAAGGATGTGGAGAAACGGGCACCCTCCTACACTGTTGGTGGAAATGTAAACAGGTGCAGCCCGTCTGGAAAATAGTGTGGAGATTCCTCAAAACATTAACAATAGAACTCTCTATGACCCAGCAATAGCACTGCTAGGAATTTACCTGAGGGATACAGGAGTGCTGATGCATAGGGGCATATGTACCCCAGTGTTCACAGCAGCACTCTCAACAATAGCCAAATCATAGAAAGAGCCTATATGTCCATCAACTGATGAATGGATCAAGAAGATGTGGTTTATCTATACAATGGAATACTACATGGCAATGAGAAAGAATGAAATCTGGTCATTTGTAGCAATGTGGATGGAACTCGAGGGTGTTATGCTAAGTGAAATAAGTCAGGCAGAGAAGGACAGATACCATATGTTTTCACTTATAAGTGGAACAGGAGAAACTTAACAGAGGACCATGGGGGAAGGGAAGGGGAAAAATAGTGGGGGAGAGGGAGGGAGGTAAACCATGAGAGATGCTTGAATGCCGAGAACAAACTGAGGGCAGATGGAGTGGAGGGAGGGGAAGGGAGGTGATGGGTATGGAGGAGGGCACTTGTGGGGATGAGCACGGGGTGTTATATGGAAACCAGTTTGACAATAAACAATTAAAAAAATAAAAAATTTGGAAGTTATCCTTCCTTTTCTAGTTTTTGGAATAGTTTGAGAATAGATATTAACTCTTCTTTAAATGTTTGGGTAGAATTAACCTGTGAAACTGTTTGGTCCTGAAATTTTGTTTGTTGGGACTTTTTTTGATTAGCAGTTCAATTTCATTACTAGTAATCAGTCTGTCTAGATTTTCTATTTCTTCCTGATTCAGTTTTGGAACATTATATATTTCTAAGAATGTATCAATTTTTCTTTGTTGCCATATCATTTTCATAATAGTCTCTTATAAAATCTTTTGTATTTCTGTGGTATCGGTTACTTCTCCTTTTTTTATTTCTGATTTTATTTATTTGACTCCTCTTTCTTTTTTTCTCAATAGCCCTGGCTGAAGATTTATCAATTTTGTTTATCTTTTCAAAGAAACAACTCTTGGTTTCACTGGCATTTTCATTCTTCTCTTTCTTTCTTTCCTGTCTTTTTTAGTATCTATATCATTTATTTCTGCTCTAATCCTTATATTTCCTTCCTTTTACTAACTTTGGGATGTTTTTGTTCTTCCTTTTCTAGTTCCTTTAGGTATAAGATTAGATTATTTATTTGGGATTTTCCTTCTTTCTTGAGATAGGCCTGTATTGGTATAAACATCTTCCCTAGGACTGCTTTTGCTGTGTCCCAAAGATAATGGATCATTGGGTTTCCAGGTGAGTAAACTCTTAAAGAATAAAAGAGACTTTAAAAACTTAGTAACCAAATACAATGTTAGATCCTTTTGGATCCTGATTCAAACACATTGTTCTAAAAAGACATTTTTGAGACAGTTGGGAAAATTTGAACATGGGCTATTATTAAGCAGTGTTAGGATATTATTATTTTTAAGTGTACTAATGAGAATATATGTATACGTATATATAAATTGTATCACTAGAGATATATACAGTCAAATGACATAATATCTCAAATGTGCTTTAAAATACTCAAACAAGCTGAACAAGACTCGCAAAATACTGACCATTGTTGAAGCTGAGAGATAGGCACATATTAGTTCATTCTAATAATCTATTTTTGTTATCTGAAAATTTTTAATAAAGAGTTCTGAAATAACAAATAAATATTTAATAAATGAAAATATGAGAGAAGAACTTTCCACAGTTCCTCAAATGCCCACTCTCAGTAGTACTCTTACTGCCAACACTTACCTATATTCCGTTAAGATTACAATTTACCTAAAAGGAAGTTTCACAGTCCCTGGATCAAATACTGGTAAAATGTAACCATAAAACTTTCAATTACCTTTACAACCAATTTCATCTTCTCCTGTAATGCAGTCCATCTCACCATTGCACTTATACTTGTTTGGAATACAAACACCGGATTTACAAAGGAAACTTTTGCCTCGGCATCCTATGCAAACATAAATAGAAGAGGTTTTTATTTTTATTTTTTCATACTTAAAATTGAATGGGATAGAATCTTAAATAAAAAGGTAAAGTTTCTCCTACTACCTTTACAGCACAGCTCATCACTTTGGTCTCCACAATCATTGACACCATTACAGGTTTTCCTTTGAGGAATATATTTTCCATTCACACAATGAAAGGAGTCGTTTGTTGAAAAAACTGTAAATTAGGAATGATCTTTGTGAAATTTATTTATGGAGTTGTAGGTGACATCTTTATCATATTTGGAATAATGGGGACTTTAAGATAAAGTCAAGCATCAAATAAAAAAGGATATAAAATGTATTGGTAGCATCAACATAACATATATGTGGTAAATAAGGAAAATAAATGTCAGAGCTGGTTTATGGAGGCCCCTTTATTATCTCTGAAAACCAGTATTTATTGTGGAGGTCTGTACTCTCGGGCACTGGGGGAGGTGGCTCAGGAATCAGGAGCCCTTGCTGAGATCAGCAAACCCTGGTGCTCACCCATTCATTTAATGCTGCTCCACGAATCCCCACTTCTATCCCATGACTTGCTTGGGCAGTGCCATTTCCATTTTGATGTACTTTTTTTTTTTTTTTTTTAGCACCAAAAAAGTCTTTAGTCTTTAAACCATACATATGACTAAAATATTCCAACATCAGAATGGAGGAGAAAAGTGGCAGTGACTGCCTTGAGACTGAAGCATAGATGTAGTCACTTAAATATTTTAAAGGCATTTTGAAGCGTGAAGATGTTGAGGTTTCTTCTGATGTTTAAGTTACTCAGGTTTGTTGTATTAACTTTAGTCCAGATGTTTTATGAAGCAAAAAGGAGCCAGGCATCTTTGCTTCTCATATAGGAGCATCTGAATACCAAAAGGTACATTACAGGAAAAGCACCAATTTAGGCTCTAAAGTCCCCAAAATGATTTTGCCTCTATTGCTGCAACTGAATATCCATCATCTGTTTACTACATATGTGGTGTGGAATAAACAGTTTAGAAGGAAGTTTTGAGGTTTCAGGCAAGTACTCTACTAACCTGCATTCTGTGTGTAACACACCACACCAGCTAAATCCTGGGAATTTTTAGTTCTTCTCTTAAAAAAAGTACATTCAGCCAAACTAGTCTCTAATCCTTGACACTGCACATGCAGACATTCAGTGGAATTTATATGGAGATCTTCAGGAACTTCAAAAATTTTTTGAACCTCAAAAGCACCTCTTCAAATAGAATAAATAAAACATTAAGGTAGAATAATTAGTACTTTGTACTTATAACCTCACTACAGAAGGTAAGGAACTAAAGTAATTTCCTCTAATTTTCTACATAACATATATTGAGCAAGATGCTTAAATTCTCTAAGCCTCAGTATCTTCACCTGTAAAAGAGAATATGACAATCTCAGGAAGTTTTATAAAGGTTAAGTAAAACAATCATTTAAACTGACTAGCCAACGTTCAAACGTGGCAAGCACTCAGCAAATATTAGTTTCCTCTCCTCTGTTTCTTGTTGAGGAGGAATCCTTCCACACTCTTGATGTTTCCTTCCAACCGGAGATGCATCATTCTTGGCCTCTCTTCATCTCTTAATTCGTTTTTGCTCAAGGAAAGTGATCAGGGAAGTCTGGATTTATAAATCGGACAAGGTTAGCTCATGTTTTCCAACTTTCATTTTGGAGGTCTCTTCAACTGCCTCATGCTAGAAGGCTGACCTGGTTGGCCGTATTGTTAGAATTTGGGAGGTTAAGTTGGTTCAATTCTAGCAGTTTCATTTTGTTTTTACACTAAACTACATCCTTATTTCAGCCCTGACGGTATTAAGGTGATATTTTGGCATCTATATAACATTACTTGGACTTCTCAATTTGTTCAGAATTTGTGCAGGTAAGAGGCTACCCCGATCACTCAATATCCTAGAGATAAGTTATAGTAAACTATTCTTTCAGAACATTCAATTGTTCCCTGCTTCTCTTTAGAAGGAAATGGGGAAAATGGTGTTAAAAATAAAAAGTTGAGCAAAGATGCATCAGGTAAATATAAACAAAAATAAAGCAATGATAGCAATATAAATATAATATCAATTAGAATGAAAGGCAGGAAGTGCCTGGGTGGCTCAGTCGGTTAAGCATCCAACTTTTGATTTTGGATCAGGTCATGATCTCGTGGTTCATGGGTTTGAGCCCCACATCGGGCTCTGTGCTGATTGTGCAGTGTCTGCTTGGGATTCTTTCCCTCTCCCTCTCTCTCTGCTCCTCTCCTGGTCGTGTGCTCTCTCTCTCCCTCTCAAAACAAATAAATAAACTTTAAAAAATTAGAATGAAAGGCATTAAAGGAAACAAGGAAGGTATTTTTAATGATTTAAGATCCATTATGATGATATAGGAGTTATAAAACTGCCAAGCAGCATCAAAATATGAGAAGGAGAGCTATTGGGGCAGTCTCAGAGGTAAATAATTTGAAAAAAAAATCTCTCATTCTAAAACTATCCAAAAGTATTAGATAAAATATAACAAATCTTCAAAAAGCTGTTAAAGAAGTAAGGGAAATATCCACTGGCTAAACTAAGAGAAGTCTGTTCATAGCTTATACAAAATATGATAAAAGCAAAAATACTGGGAGATCAAAGACAGAGAGTTTCCCATTAGGTTGACTTATAGGTTGTAGGTTACAAACTGTCAAAAATTACAAATATTCTGTGGCTGAATTTAATGATAAGACATTCTCACTAATGAACTTCTAGCAGATATAGTTTAGAAAGAAGGAAACTGAATTCAGCATAATGTTGAAAGATGCAAAAAGCAGTAACAAACCAAGATGTTTGGTAAACATGAAGTACATCTGAGTAAGCACAGCATATGTGTGTGTGTATATATGTAAATATACACATATATTTATTTATTATATAATTTATATGTTATATATAAAATTATATGATGATAGTATATATAATAATTGCTTATATAATGATATCAATTAACTTCAGGGATATATAAAAATAATGTGGAACTAAATCCTGGAACCTTGATTGAAATAACGACATTCTTTGTATTTTTCCTGAAGAGAGTGAGGACTTCCTAAGTTAAGGATTCGTGGTATAAATGTGAAGATAACCATGAAAGCAACAGAAATAGGATGTATATAGTTTACAAACCAAGTATAGGGGGAGAGGGGAAAGAATTAAAAAATACAGCAACTTCATTAACCCAATAGAAGTTAGAAAAGGAAGAAAGTACATAGAAAAAGCAGGTTAAATAATAATTGTAAAATAAGATAGAGAAAATAAATTCAACGGTGTAAATAATCACAATAATGGAATGGACTAAACTATCCAGACAGTTATTATCATACAGGATTTAAAAAGAATCTAGATAATGTGCTGTTTATAAGGGATGTATTTAAAAGATAATGACATAGAAAGCTTCCAAGTAAATAAATAGGAAAAAGATTTGAACAAAGCAGTAACAAGCTTGCTTATTTTAATGGGTAACATACCTATTATCTAGAACCCTGCCCCTGAAACATTTAAAATATACTTAGCACAAAGCAAGTGTCAACAAATATTTAAACAATTGTCATATAGGGACCAATCTCTTACAACAATACAATCAAACAGGAAATCTATAACAAAAAGTTAACTAAAAGCAAATATATATTCATTACAAAAGTAAAGAAGAAACTTCTACATCAAAGAAGAATTATACTGAAAATTTGAAAATATTTCAAACTGAATATTAAATAAAATGCCACTTTTATTTTATGCCACTGAGGCTCATGGCATGCAGATAAAGCATTACCTAGAGAGAAATTTGTACCTTAAATGTTTATATTAGAAAATAAGAAAAATGGAAAATCTATGAGTTAAGCATTTAACTCAAGGAATTAGGAAAATACAACAGAGAACAGAAGAGAGCCACAGATAACAACAAAAGTTAATGAAGTGAGAGTAAAGTAACAAGAGACAATTTATATATAAAATATAAAAATCAAAAACACTATCAAATAGACAAATCTCTTCAAGGTTGACCAAGAAAAAAAGATAGAAGACATAGATAAACAATATTAGGTATGAAAAAGTAGGCACAATTATAAACAAGTAGAGACATACAGTAATGAACATATTTACAGCTATCTGAAACTACAAAGGATTCATATCCAGAAGCTCAATAAACTTACAGGTGATCTGTGCTTAGCAGTGTTCTAAGTGCTAGTCAAACATGAACATATTTAATCCTCATAACAATGCTGTGAGGCAGATAGTCCATACTCTCAAGTTACATATGAGGAAATTAAGGCACAGAAAGACTGTAATCAAAAAACAAATAACTGGAACAATAAAACAAAACCAACCCTGGAAAAATCCACTGACACAAGCACTTACTGTTGAAATCCAAGGTCAAGACAGGCCACATTAGCCTCCACAATGGTCCAAGTTTTTTTACATATGAACATTTTCTTATCTTGGTCTACAAGTTTTACTTCGACAATTCCCTCAGAAGTGGTAGTTCCATAGTTTAAGGAAACATTAAAATGTCCTAAAATTAAACACAGACACACACAGACACACACACAGACACAGGAATGAGCAATATTTAGGCATTCACCTTTTCTCTTCTTGATTAAAAGCCTTTGAAATAAACAAAAAACGTAATCTCAAATTACCTTTGAACACCATGAAGATTTTAATAATAGTGTGCAATTATTTTATGAGGGTCTATTATGTATCAGTGGTTGTATGACCCAGTTATATAGAATATCATGAAATCCTCACATCAACCCTGTGGAGACTACAATGATATTTTTACACATGAGGAACCTAAATGCCTCCATTTTTACAAATGAGGTTAGCTTACTTGCTCAAGTGGGGAAGCCAGGAATCTGAAGCTACTATATTGATCTCACTCCCAAGTCTGTGCTCTTAAAAGTGAGCCAAACAAATAATGGGAATGTAAACACATTTTAGGTATTCTCATATATTTAAGGCATGCAATGCCTCAAGAGAACCAAAGTCTGCCACTGACAAATCTCGTTTCGAACAGGGCATAGAGATGGGTTCACATAGGGAGCTTTCTTCCTCCTACCCCACAGTGCCTCAGCATTGCAGCCCAGCATCACACAAATTATTTAGGCTACTGTGTGCTGGCATATGTCAAGGCGCCTCTACAAGGAATGTTTTGAGTAGATTTCTATAAATTCATGAAGTACCTGTGATAATTGATATCAGAAGATAAGGCTGAGGTTTGCTGTTATAGTTAAAATTTCATGAGCTCTTCTTGTGTGCCAAACACCGTGTGAAGAACTTTACATGTATCATTTTATTTAATTTTCATGAAAGCCTTCAGAGTTAGAAACTGGTGTTATGCTGATGTGGGAAATGGGGTCTGACAGTTACATAGCTTGTCAATAACCAAGGTGGAGTGGAGAGGCTTGCAACTAAAACTGACAGTGAGATTCCTAACCTTAACCACTCCAGCAATCTCCATACCGGCATCATAGCCTCCTCAGTGTATTAGCAGCCTGGGTGGAGTATAGACAAGCTCTTTCATCTGATGTGCCAAGTTTCCTAGAGCATGTCGTTGGTCAGCAGTAGCCTGAGCTCCCCATCGATCAGGGCCAGTGGGCTTGGGGCTCCCTAGGCATAGAGGCTGGTGGGAGGGACGCTAGAAGGAATTATGGGATCTGGAGGTCCAGAGGCACAACTCCATATCAATATCAATCTTATGTAAAGACTTCTTCACTGGGTACTGAACCAACTCAGTGACTCTGGGAATAGTCCTGTTAGCCAAGTAGAAGTGAGGATGGGGATAATTTTGAAGGGCTGGGCAGCAGAGAGTGGCATAGGCACTGAGGGAAAGACCAGCTTCAGGGCCTTGTGCTGTGAACGCAAAGGCTGGTTATATTCTGTTGACCCTAATTTCTTTAGTTATTACCCAAATTACAATTAAGGATCTAGAGAGGAATTCTGAATTGTCATCATAACATTTCAAAGCAAAATTATTTTCTAGTAGACAGTATGGTAAATAATTTCTTTCTTATCTCACAGACTCAACTAGGGCTTTCCTACCTTTAGGTGTGCATGTTCCATTATTTAAAAACTTTGCCCCTGGCCGAAGACATTCAAAACTCTTTTGCTGACAGTAAGTTGGGAAGCTTTTCCCAGTAGTTGAACACACTGAGGTACCATTCTTTGGGCACTGATAAGGGAGTTTACAGGTACAGGTCCCGTCAATGCATTTCTGCCATGGTTGACAGAAGACTTTATTGCAGGAGAGATGTGTGTATTTTTCAGTTAGGCACTTGTTGTCTAGCAGATCCTTTGGAGGTATGTACGATGTTGAAGGATGCTGTAAAACACAAAACAAACACTAATAAACTAGTTTTATTTTTTGAAGATCATTAAGTGAAGAAAAGGAACAAAAGAGATTCCCCTATCCCACAGTATAGATGAGGGTAGGGTGTGTCCCGGCTTACAGAATCACAGATGTGACTTCTAGTCTTAGCCTGGGGACTTACAGTTATATGCCCTTGGGTAAGTTACTTACCCTCATGGAATGTTCATTTCCTCATCTGTACAATGGGGATAATATCTTCTATTTTGTAAGGCTAATGAAAGGATTAGAAATTATATACATATAATGGTTGACAGGTATGCAATCAATGGGAACTATTATCCTAAAGCCAATATAAAACTCTGCCTTTGAAGAAATCAAATTCATGACTTATGAATCTCATAAGTCATGTTAAAAACTAACAAAATTGGTGCTAAATATAATCTTGTGGAATGAGTTGGTTAATTTCATTAATAAATGCAAAACCATTTGTTAAACTCTCTACTGTGTGTAAAGTTTCTCCAAGATGAACATACATGGGCTCTGTCTTCCAAGGGCTTGACAGCTAGGCGATAAGATAGACACATACATAATAACAGGTGTACAAGGAAGACTGTGGTAATTGATGTAACAGTGTACAAATCCAATACAGTACTCTTGGAGAACCGAAGTGAAAGAGGGTTAGTCTTTCTGGGGGGTATTTAAAAAGGCTCAAATGGTAGCATTTGAGCAGGGTAAGGAAAGACAGATGCTAGCAGAGGGCTGCTGCTAATGAAAGACAGGAGGGATGATGCAGAATGTATTTTAGGGACTCATGAGTAGTCCCAGCTGATGAACATATGGGGCTTTGTGTGTTTCAAATGAGGTAGTCACTGGTCAAGAAACTGGTTAAGAGAGAGGCAGCAGAAGTAGGGTATGAGAATGGTTTGGAAAGACACTCAAGCAAGGAAAGCAATAGGTTTAATCCATGAAGGTCTTGAGGGTGGGTCCTAGGTTTGAGGCTGAGTGACAGTAAAAATGCATAATGATGCTCTTATGAATGTTTTTGGAACCAGCTGAATGTGAAGAATCTAAAGGACATGCATCTGGACATAATCTGTGGGAAAGGATATAGATGTGTGTCTTAAGCTTGGAAGACAGATTATTAGTTAACTCAATAAATGAGTTAGTAAGCACCACTCTGTGCCAGAGAATGGCTTAAGCCTAGAACAAGAGGAATAAAACTCTCTGTCCAACCCAAAGAGAGACAGGCAAGCCTCACAATTTCTCTGACAGACATGGGCTGGGGATATCATTAGGACAGTGTTGTAGGCCCCTGGCATGACTAGGAGGCTCCAAAACATTTCCAGAAATTCCTGTTTTCTGGGCTGTGTTTTGAAGGTGCTGTGCATGGGTCCTCTGGCAGAGGGGGTGGTGGGCAGGCACTTCAGATAGGACTGTAAGAAGAACACCAGGCTTGTTCAAGGCTAGAGAATAGAATGAGAGGGTGGTGGAGGCTAAGAGAGCAGGTCCTGAGGGAGCCACTTTAAGCTAGGAAGCAACTTTGCTTTTGAGGAAGATCTTGGAGATAAGATCAGACAGGCAGGGCCAATTAGACCTGCAGGAATCCAGAGGAAATCTGTTAAGAGCTGGAAACAGATCAGTTGGGTCAAAAATGCATTGTGGAAAGTCAGTGTTTTCTCTCTCCCCAAGATGGCCCATCTGGAGGATGAGTGTCTTGTCCCTTAGTCTCACCAGCCCCCAACGACAAGTTCCCCCTCTCTTTTTCAGTGTTTTCCAGGCTGCAATAACAGCCAGTGGGGGCAGGAACAAACTGAACAATCTTTAAATGCTGTCAAAAAAACAAATAAGGGGCGCCTGGGTGGCTTAGTCGGTTAAGCGTCCGACTTTCGCTTAGGTCATGATCTCGCGGTTCGTGGGTTCGAGCCCCGCGTCAGGCTCTGTGCTGACTGCCAGCTCAGAGCCTGGAGCCTGTTTCAGTCTGTGACTCCCTCTCTCTCTGACCCTCCCCTGCTCATGCTGTCTCTCTCTCTCTCTCTCTCTCCTAGAAATAAATAAAGAAAAACATTAAAAAAAATTTGAAAAAAAAAAACAAACAAACAAACAAATAAAAACCAATTAATTAAAGCCATGCAAAAAATTTTGCATAAGCTCTGAAAGTCTTTCTACCTAATATACTTTTCAGTAAACTTTATTAAATAGCCATAGAAACAAGAAAATTTGACAGTCATTCACTACATTGGCTTTTAACACACTAATCTTTAAAGAAATCTACGAGTTACATACTTTTCATGGTTCCATGTATCTCTTTTGTGGCACTTATTAGGGATGAAATGTTTGTAGTTCCTTAGCTCCTATATCTTCCACTGAGAAGACTGTAGGTGCCCTGATACAGGAAATGTCACCCTGTTACGTATCATCCTTATATTGAAAAAGGGATATTCTGATTGAGTGCAAATAGAAAACAACAGAAACCTGGGTGTCATAAATTTTCAATCATTATTCAATTCGAGCAAAAACAAAAAGTTAAGATTTTTAGTCCCAGGAACAGTCATATAACAGCAGGTATGAAGTCCAATTCTGTGTAATCATTGACACTGATCTTCATTTCAGGTGAAAGCTTCTCCTTTTTTCCACCTCAGACTTGCTTTGAGGGACAATGTGGGCCTAGTATTCACTGAATGGTGAAAAAAAGCTCAAAACAGTCAGAACATTGAGGAGAATTTACACTAAAGGAGCTGAAGATGTGGAGCAAGTAAGAGTTTGCTTCCCAGACACAGGGTTCCTTTGCTCCATGTGTCTAATGCTGCAGAGAGCTTCAGAGGATGAAGGCTGAACAAAGGCCACTGAATTAGATGAGCAAAGATCATTGGGACTCTTTTGAAGTAGTTTGAGCTGAGTGTGAGACATAGAAACCAGACTTTGGTGAGGTAAGGCCAGAACAGGGAGTGAAGAAATGGAAGCAGAAGTACAGGGCAGCCATTTTGGTTGGCCTTGTACTTAAACATGTGAGACTGAACACAGGCTTTAAACAAAATCTCTGCTAGGGGCGCCTGGAGACTCAGTTGGTTTGGTTAAGCATCGGATTTCAGCTAAGGTCATGATCTCACAGTTTGTGAGTTTGAGCCCCGCAATTGGACTGTATGCTGACAATTAGGAGCTTGGAGCCTGCTTCAGATTATGTGTCTCCTTCTTT